CTGAAGGCGGCTCCGCCGGAGCGAAGGCCTGGGTCCCAGGTGCTGGAGGAAAATGCCGGCAGCCAGGGGAAGGGAAGGCCTATTGCACGAATCTTTTCGTGCAACAGGCCTCTAGTATTTATATAAGTATATATCACTCAAAAATCTAATCTCATGTGTAATGTTTTGAACAGAGTTTTTTTATTTATTGGTTCTCCATCCATCTGTCCATCTTCATTAATTCTCTTCCACCCAACCTATATCACACATCCTTACATTTTTAAAAAACCATCTGCCAAATGATACTTTAGTATGAAGCATGTCTTCAAATTTTGCCAAATTTTAACCAAAAATGTAATTAACATCACAAATCATTTCCAAAGACAAGATACTCTAATTTTAAAAGTACTTAAGAGGTTTGTTCTAAAGCACTTTTTTGCATTCTACTACCTCTAGTATACTACTGATTTTGCCTGATAACCTTAATTTCTTTATCCAACATAAAGAAAACCGAATTAAACACACATTAACATAATTCAAAATAATATTCAAAATAATTTTCAGGAATCCATAGCAAATTAACCAAGGAATAGGAAATATCTCTTTAACTGGCTATAATACAGACTAGGCAATAATTTAAAACATTTGTTATACCAAATTGACTGAAAATTGGGTAATTTTAATCTTGCAGGATTAGGGGAAATTAAATTAAATTACTTTTTATTTCATGGGGCCCAGGATTTCACTCCTCTCCTTCCCCTGAGTTAAATTTATAAAAATTCTAATAAAATATCACTACCCACATAATACAGGGTGGGGCAAAAGAAAGTATAAAGTTGTATGTGGAACAGAGTTTATTCTTGTATTATTATTTATTAATTATTGTATTATTTTCCATACAAACAACTGTAAAAACTACTTTTACCCTGTATATGTTATATTAACAAAATATTACTTAGTTTATTTATGTCCTAGTTTCTTTAAGTGGAAGATGGTATTAGAAAATAAGAACTGTGTGTTTGGTGTACTCATTGCTACTGGGGTGCCATTGCTTCTTTAGTGAAAAAAACTAGGAAATATATGTATATACATATGCATGTATATACATATCTAAATATATCATATACATATTTAGATCCATGAATTCATACTGATTCTCCTAATTTCAATACAACACCTTAGAGTCCTAGGGTTCTTTCCTTTCCCCATTCCATGTTTCTAATTTCTTTCTCAGACACAGAGAAATCTAACTCCCATTATCTTCCATATTACTTATTTGCTCAAAGTAACCAACCTACCAATGTAACCACTCTGGTTGACTCTTCTACATGCCATCTCTGTAACCCTCCCTCCAAAAAACCCATTTCCTCAAACACTCGGCACATTACTGCCCTTATTGCTATACTGCCCTCTTACCCTCCTCACTGCTATACTTCCCAGGGTATCTATATAGTCAAGGCTGAAGGGAAGGGGAATAACAAAAGAGGTGAAGGGAAAGGACTCAGTCATTATTTTAAATTATATGCCTTAAAAGTTGACTCCTCTCCTATACTCCATCTTTCAACATGATATCTTTCTATAACTCCCCTATTAAAGAATGGCTAATTGGCTATATTTGCTTTTGCAAATTTGACTTCACCATTAAACATAAGAATGCTCTAGAAGTGGTACTCAATTGTTAAACTTGACAATTTCCATCAAACTGCAAAAAAATAAAAATCATGATATAATGAACCATATTGAACACTCTTGAAGCAGAAAAAAAAACTTAAAAACACCTTGAACACTTAATTCACAAAGACAACATATGCATCAAGAAAGCACATAAAATTTAGTCAATCTATTACAATATGTAAAATTTATACAGTGCACTTTTATAATATTCTAATTTACTTTATAACTACTTAGGGGTTCCATAGAAGGATACTCAATTCTTGACTATGAAAGGTGAAAAAATAAAAATCTGCTCAGCCATTCATTCATCAGGATGAGGTAACAACGACTGATAAGGCCAGCTGCAAATTTAATAGGAAATATTGCTTCTCTCAAGGACACACGGTAGCCAAAAAGTATCATAACAACCTCCTTTTTTGAGTGACTACTATGTTGTTACTCACTGAGAAATCTTATTGTCTAAAATCAGAAATATCAAAAAAAATTGCTATTTAAATATTAATCAGTAAGAATGAAACATCCCACTTTTGCCTGGAGGAGCTACTTCACCTTGACACAGAGAAGCAGGCTCAATTTCCGACTTAGGTACAAAGGTTCAGAGGAGGGGTTTTTGAACACAACATTCCATATAAATGTTAACTTTGTAGTTTCCAAGACAACAGGACCCTGGGTCTATTTCAAAGTTGAGACCAGATATTGACCCCATTTACACATAGCCCTGCTTTGTTTTAAGTCCTTCAGAATACAGCTTCATTTAAATTTCATCTGAACTCCACCCTTCCTCTAAATCCTACAACAATTTTATCTTTTCCTTTGGCGAAATGCCTGCCTGGTACCTGTTATATAATCTCCCTCACTGAAACAAGCCAAGAAGTCTGACTTTGTCAGACTATATGTTTGTCCCTGAAGGTCTTGGGGTGGTAGGGCTGAACAAAAAAGTGACAGTTGCAGCCAAGCCAAAACTTTTCATTCCTGTTGTTCATGATCATGAAGCTCACATAATTATGTGTAACAATGAGACCCAGAAGACAAGGACAAGGTAATTAACTGGTGAAAGCAACACAATTTTAGCTATCATAGACACAAGTCATGAAACAACAGGCTTTATTTTCATCAACTAACCAAAAGTTATACACCCCTATATCATCACTGAGTTAGCCAACTAGAGAAAGATCTACTGGTAGAAAATTGGGTGAATATCTTCCCATTTTCTCCTCACTGTTGATCATGCCCACTCCCATTTAACATGTTGGGAGTCTGATGGTGGTTGAAGAGAGTGACATCAACATCCAGACACGAACCATTCTTTGCAGTGTTGCCATCAAAGGAAAAAAACAAACTGTTTGAACCACTTTTAAGATAAAAGGAATTGATCTCCTAGAAAAGATTACTATGTGTAAATAATTCCCTATCAAGATTTGTTGGGACATACTTCTGCTTCCACAAATATTTAGCTTTTCAGTCATAAAAAAAAAGCCACTAGAATTTAAACCCCAGACAAGAGTTCTTTGGTATATAATTATTATATTAAAACAAATTTTACCTTAAACTCTGACAACCATTCCTCCACAACCCCTTTCTCTGAAGTGAACATCTTTCCACATCTGTTCTAAATCTTCAATCTGAAAATTAACATAGAAAATTGTTAAAATTTTAAGTACATTTTCTTTATAGTCAGATTATTATAGATAGAAATGAACCTATAAAATTTAGTTATTTCCTATTAGTAAAAGTAAAGCAATTTCAAACAGAAATTACTGGGTTCATTTCAAAACCAATGTGCACAAACAAGCATTAAAATGCAAGAATTTTGACAAAAGTATAAGTGTCATAATATGATGATATTGGCTCTGCAATTTTCTTTCAGCTTTCATGAATGCCAGCTGCAAAACATACTGAACATTTTTTCCTAGTTTCAAGTGAATAATTTCAAATAGATGATGCATCGCAAGAAAATTGCAGAAAATATTTTAAAACTGTGTATTTTCAAAAAGACATGCATTCAAAATTGACTTTATAGAAGGCATTAAAGTAATTGAATTTGCTTATATTTCAGTTATTTATAAGAATAACAGTCTAGCCGAAACCAGTTTGGCTCAGTGGATAGAGCGTCGGCCTGCGGACTGAAGGGTCCCAGGTTCGATTCTCGGGGGCAT